CCCCAAAACCCCAAAACCCCAAAACCCCAAAACCCCAATAAAAAAAGTATACTCAAATAATCCATAAATAATTAAATTAGTTAAAGATGAACCTCAGATTACTAATGATTATGCTATGATTAGCTTGTGGAGTCATCCAAGCCGACATTTGTCAAGGCCAGCAAGGAAATGATACAGGTAAGCCCAGAGCTGGCTAAAGCTATAGTTGAGTCATTGTCTTATGAAGGAAGTTTAAGGTAAGAGTTCAGCCCTGATGTAGTAACAATAATATCATTTCTAGATATACTAAAGCCATTATTGGAGATCAAGGAAATTTGTATATTTATGGGACTATTTCAGCTACGAATAAACATTCTGTTATTCAAAAACTTGATTCTTCAGGAAATATGGTCTATGATAAAATAACCGAGTTTGAACCATCTCCTAAGGCATTTGAAGTGAGTAACAGTGAGACTTTTCTATATTCCTTCCTTCATATATCTACAAGTGGAATGGTGGTGGTTTATGATTGAAACACTGGAAATATCCAAGCTGCTGTCTTTGTTGGAGTAGCTCCTACGCCAGATTCTATAATTGCGGAAGATAGTAATTCCCAAGTAGTTTATTTTACAAAAGGAGGATCTAGCGTATCAATTTACAGAACATGTCCATTACAATCATCTCGCGATTGATACACTGTTGCAGACTCCTTAACAATCACAGGAAGTACAGGGTCTATTGGAATTTCAAGTTATGCTATTGAACCAAACTCTATTCTCTTAGCGAGCTCATTAAATATACAGCCATCATCGAAGTCTTTCAAATAAAATAGACTTTGCAGATTCTAACTTTGAAGTATGGGCTAATGAAATTGTTTGCCCAGATAGTTTTTGAGGTTCAGAAGCCATCAGTATTCTTCCTGATAGTACTCTGAACCTTTTCTATATTATGATGCAATATAATTCAAAAAATTTGTTTTTTAAGCTGTCAGAAACAGATGGAGCTCTTGTTGGAACAATGTATTCTTCTCTTACAACTTCAATTTGATCTGGAGATGTATCTCTTAATCGGATTGGTAATAATTTATATCTAACCTCTTCGTGAGATACAACATACTTCACTAAGTATGATTTAGTGGGAGATACCTTTGTTTCCACTTTCGAGCTCACAGATTCTTCTATCATAGCCAAAAGCTACCTTATATCCTCAAATCACCACACAATCATTGGATATTGGACTCCTTCAGGAGAAAGTGGCTATATCGGTAGTTTTTCAACTGTGGGAGACATTACGCACCCTCATTTTAAAAACTCTTCCAGCATTTTCTCAGCAACTACAAGCTATCCAATTACTTCAGCTGCTATTAACTGTAAGACTATTTTTTTCTATCTAAAATTAATTTTCAATATCTACCAACTGAGTAAAAATGATATAGCTTTGACTAACCCAGGAATGGGAACAAGCCTTTTTTCGATTACTACAAAGACTAAACCTTACAATTATGATAGGATTTTAATAGTAAGTGCGAGCAAGTCGAAATTTAATAACTTGAAATAGAGTCAAGATGCTATTTCAAAGGAAGGTGTAAATCCAGGAGACTCTATTAATGTGAATTTAACTTGCACTTTAAGTACTAGTATTGGAGTAACATGAAATCCATCTGGTATTGGTGGAGCATCTCCTCCCTCATGGGTAAAAATAGAGTCCTCAACATTGGTGAAGATACTTGACAAAATTGATACTAATGATGCTGAAAATACGTTCACAATAGATTGCTCTTTCGGCTCATCAATATTCCAAACTCCTGCGAACTTAACTATTAATCAAACATGAAGTGTACAAAATTGTGAGAAATGTAGCTCTAACTCATCTTCAATATGCCAAACGTGCAAATCAGGCTACATTTTGTCATCAAAAGGAAAATTTTGAGAATCGAAAAATACTCAAGAAGTGTTGATAGCATCTCAAGTTCTCTTAGGGGCAGGATTTATATCAAGCGTATCATCCCCCCAAGGAGCTTGGAGTATGATCAACCAGTTCCAGATTCTGATGCTGATGCCTTTAACAGGCTCATTTTTTCCCTCAGACGTGATCATGTTGCTGACAGGGATGGATTTCACCCTGATCTCTTTTAGCTTCATACCAATCCCTCGTATTCCAGGAATCAGAGAATTTCTGGATCTTTACGATTTTGAACAGAGGGATGAGTATATCTATGGTAAAAGTGTCTAAAACAAATTTAGAAATGGATATAAAATCAGGAAGCACATTTGTCAATACCTTCAACTTATTAGCAGTTTGATGAATTTTCTGTTGAGGACATCTCTTAATAGCCGCATTCAAATGTAAATCTACACACAATTGTCTAATCTTTAGATATCTTGGGAAAAGAAAGAAGTTCAAGATGGTATTCAAAGCTGATTATTTGGGTATATGACATAATGACTTGCACTTTCTATGTGAGAATATCCATCGAAGCATTCTTCTTATTGGTCGTCTCAAGTTCAAGGGAGGTTTACTTAATATCCCAAGTCAGCACTTCTAAAGAAATACTGTCATGAATTTTTAATTTCCTTTTAATCATAATCTGGATATCATTTTACATCCTTTGCTTCCACCAATGGAGAAAGTCCAAGAGTGAGCTAAGGTTTACAAAAATGTTTTATTTTAGAGAATTTTTCTCTGGAGTAAAACCTCACTTCAAATACAGAGTATATTCAACTCTATTTCTAAGCAAGAGGATTGTACTGATAGGACTGGTAATATTCATGGAGAAGCTTCCCATGATTGCCAAAGCGATTCTATTTGTACTTGTACAGACTGTGTCATTAGGGATTATCGTCTCACTCAGACCCTTTTCTGATCTAAAATAACAATATTATTGAAATAATCAATGAAATTCATCTTCTCATATGCTGATCTGTCATGCTGTATTTTAACAAGGAGAGTCATTGGAATACGACAAAAACAGCAATCTATATTTATGTGCTCCTTTCAGATATAATTATAGTTTGATTAATATCTTTTGGTAAAATAAATAGTAATATTTTAGTATTTCTTGCAAAGAAATTATACTTATTTTTGAAAAAATGGAGCCAGAGAAATAAAGTTCAGCCAAAGACAGTCAAGGAAATAGAAATGCCAAGAATATTGAGAGTTAGCTAAGCTTAATTTTTAGGAAGTCAGAAATGCTTCTGTAGCCTCAAAAGAACCATGATTTATCAGACAATCCAATCCTACACAACAAAGATCCTTACAATCAATGAATGAATTAAACAGAGAATATCAGAACAAAAATCCCCAATCTAAGCTTCAAATATCAAACAAAGCAGAGCACCAATAAAGCCCTAAAACACCTTCCAACCCTCTAACTCTCCTTATAACCCCTTAAACCAACCCCCATGTCTACAGCTTCCAAAGACCCTTCCTCACTCACCTTTTTTCAACCTAAATTCGAACCAGCGGGGTTTTGGGGTTTTGGGGTTTTGGGG